GAACATCATATATCAAAGACTTGATTAAAAGAACATTTCTATTATGCATGAAAAGAGGTGATTTTATGATTATCAATGGTCCTATGCATTATTTTTTCATAATTGAGGTGCATTGTTCTGACCAAGTATTGTGTCAATTTTAACTATATCAACACATACTTGATAATATTGACATATATTGACATATTTAATGACCTATATATTATTAATTGCCATAAAAAAAAAGATGATTGGTTGGTGGTTTAAGCATAATATATCAATTTGTAAAATGTCATGAGAGATCAAATACTTACATAGTTGTATCCATCTATTAAGTTATATATTTATATGCCCTGATACGTTAACATGATAAAAAGATTCATAACATCACCACAGGAGCATGTTACAAGACATCCATGTGATATTCTGTGTTAGCAACATGTAATCAAGATAATCACGAGCTTTGTGAACCAAGATGTAATATTGGGTTCTTATTGTGTTGTTCTTCACTTAATTAGGTTAGGAAAACTGAGTGTTTGGACAATGCAATAGAGGAAAATGACCAAGTTTGTATACACGATGGCGACATGCCAGTGATTCTAGCCTATTGACGACTTAATTTATTAAATGTTGTAATTAAATTGATATTCATTATTATAATGAATTATTTTGATATTGAGATTAACTTTTTTTTTACTAAAAATATACCAACTAAGAAAATTAGATAATTATATTTGTTGTTGTCATTGTTGTTGTTTTTATGATAATGTAAAATATTGGTTTAAACTATTGTTTTTGTTTTTATGATTATTCAAAACTATATTTTTATTTTATAATTTTTTAAAGTGTGGTTATGATTGTTTTTCAAAGTACTTTTCATTCGGAAATATATCAAAATAATATTTTTTTATTTTTTAAAAATTATTTTTAACATCAATGCATTAAAATAATTTAAAAAAATTTAAAAAAACATTAATTTAAAATAAAAAATAAAAAATTTAAACTTTTTAAAAATATTTTTAAAATATAAAAATAAATAACTGAGATGGTTGAGATTGATAGCGTCTGTTATTTTAAATGGTAGCGTACATGGTATACGTACGATTTATGTACTGGAATGAAAGTTATTTTCACAAATATGCCAGTTTAGAAAACAAGTTTTCTTCACCGTGCTGCTAAAATACTCGCAAAATGATGTGATTTTAGTCGGCATTCGCATAAAAATCACTGTTCCACTCCAGCTTTTCTTTTTGACGAGTTAATTCAGATGTCAGAAAACATGCCATTGGCTAACTGTCGACCTTTTCTTGCACGCATGCATGTGCCACAGCCATGGAGCCGTAGCCAGTCTCGGTGCCAAGAGATGAAGTTAGCTAGGATTATACAGGCTACGATAATCCCAAAATGTTTAGCCGTCAGATTTTGCCAATTATATGAAATGAAGTTTGCAGGGAGGAGGTGTGGTTCCCAAGGTCTTCAAGAAAAGTTGAATCATTAGCACTTTATGAATATTGGTTCTCGAGCTCGAGTCTGATACATACAATTAAGACCGTGATTAGTGACCATTATCATTATTTTTTAAAATATTTTTATTTAAAAATATATTTTTTGTTTTTTTAATTATTTATAATATTAAAATATTAAAAAAAGTATTAATTAAAAATAAAAAATAATTTTTTTTAAAAAAGCAAAAACAAATAAGATAGTTTTTGCCACAGCGTTGCTGTGCCTCTCAGTGATTTGCTCTTTCTTCCTTGCCTGCAGCAAGATGTAATTTTTCTTACACTGTACAGTGTACTTGTGTAGTTATCGGATAACTGCTCCAGGAATATTGTAAGAATATTTCATTTACATTGGGAGCCATTGGACAGAATAAATCTAAAATTTTCTTAAAAAATAATTTGAAACGCAGCTACGAACCATGAAAAAAAAAAAAAACCTCGAGGAGTAAAATCTCGAACAGTATTTGTTCCGTTAAATCAGAGCAATTGATTCTGTATGGCAGGGATTTATTTACACATTAAGTTAACTGTGTGCTTTTCGGATTGCCAGCATGTCACTCGATGGATTCCATCAAGTTACTGCACATTGAGAAGGATGTCCTCCTAATCTCTGCCAAACAATGCTATTCCCAAGACAGCATACTTTCCAATAGAATTTAAGCCTCTTGTGTTTATACTTCTCTTTGGATATATTAGAATCCTGTCACATTTTTATAAAAGTTCTAGGGTAATAGTAATTGTTTGAAAAATAACATAATATAAATATAATTACTTTTAAAAATAACGACCAAACACAATCATTCAAAGTGATTGTTCTAAAAATAATACCCCACTCCATTTAATCAACATATTTAAAAAATCAATTTAAAATTTTATAAAACCTTAATAACTAATAAATAATAGGTTAATAGGAAGACTTCGAAGTTTTGTTTCTAACACATCCAATATTATTATTAGAAATGCATTAATAAGACAATTGTAATCACCACTTAAAAAATTACCAAATATAATCATAATTTATGAGAGATTTTGTTTGTGGTTAGTCTAGGGTTACTTATAACCTCATTTGATATTCTTTTAAAGTATAATTAGAATTATTTTGTTGAGATTTTTTTAATTGTATAATATATATTAAAAATAGAATCTTTATGTATTCCCTGTGAACTTTTTTTTCTTTTTCCTCATTTCTTTCTCCCCACAACACGTTATTTTTTTTTCTTTATTGACCATTAAAACTTGAATTCTATCCTGTCACCATTGAATTTTCATAAATTTTTTGATTGAATTTTATTTAGATGAATTAATTTGTGAGAAAAAATGTTTTGAAATATCCACTGAACAATGTTATTTCAAACGACGATTTTATAAAAAAAAATATACTGTGAGATATATTTACTATTTCAAATAGCCGCTGTGAACAAAAATAATATTCTAAAATATGAATGCATTCACACATTATTTTAGCAAGGTACGCTATTTGTTTTTATAAAAACCCCCTCATTCGAAGGATAATTTTCCCTTGCCATTTCCTTTTCCTTTTCTTTTTGCCTCGGATCTACACCTCGCTATAATAATGTGGGAAAGTGAGAGAGATACATCGGAGCACGATTTCAACGCGGATTTTGAAAAGAAAACAACCTTTTTGGTTATTTAACTAATTGTTTTTCTCATCTTGCCATTTAAATACAATAATCGTCTTATACTGTATCAAAACTAAAAGGAGTTTAGTAAGTATCGTTGAACTCCATACCGACAGGCAAAGTTCTAATTAGTATCTTTGAACTCCATACCGACAGGCAATTTCCAATTAGTATCTTTGAACTCCATACCGACAGGCAATTTCAAGAAATAAAGACGACGACGATGACGACCCATAGGATAAAGCAAAAAGGTTAGCGATAAATCTTTATTAAGAAATGCTCCACAACGTTTTACACGAGATGTGCTTTTCCAATCATTGACTTCATTAGTCATTATAAAATTAGGACTTGGAAAGAAAATTTCGAATAATCAAAGGTTTTTGGATCTTGCAAGTAGAACATTCTGAACCATGGCCTCCATGCGCCATGGCACCCCCGTGCATGCATTACCTTGAAGTGAAAATTTAATTTTTTATTTTGTTTTATTTTTTTCCTTTTTGTTTATACATTAAGAGTGTAATTTAAACATGATATAAACATTACGCTCGACGTGAATATGAGAGTAATTTAAACAGTTAATAGTAGCTGTATTTATTTTAAATATGATATAAACATTTTTCTTCTATCACCGGATCATCTTTTATCTTTTATTTTTTAAAAAATAAACCATCGATAGCACTTTACACCAAGCGATTCACATTAACAGCTTGGAAATTTTAGCCGACGCACATAGAAAAGATGCAACTCGAAGAAAAGGGCATGAACGAATGAATGTGAAAATCATAAATAGGAAGGAGAACAAGTCTATGTTTTGGGGGGCAATTCCTTCCCTCACGATAATACTACAAAATATTAATAAATCTAATTACAAGCATCAAGAGGGTAGTGCCTTGTTAACCTGGGGTCATAGCATTCAACTTGACTGGGTCAAGGATGGGACATTTAGCAGTCTGTATACCCTACCTTAGCTTAAAGCTAGCAAATAATACACCTAGTGGATTAATACCTAATCTCAGGCCTTTCGAACTTAGAATCTCATAGGGTCTCTGTGTTGCTGCTATGCTATACGTACTCATCTAGCTCTCTCAGCTTTACAGATTGATTATTGTCTAATATATATCCCTTTGAAAGGTCAAGGACGCACACAGTGTTTGCCATAACAGCTGTGAACATCACATATCATTTAACGTGTCAAGTTTGAGGCCCTCCTCCAGCCACAGTTTTCTTCTGTTACAATAAAGTATGAAGAGTAACCCTCTGTGTGGACAACATCCCCAAGCTCTCATAAAGAAGAAGAATAAGAAGAAGAAGTTTGAAATTATAGCAAATATGTTTCTTCGGTGGAGTCGAAAGAAGGAACCTTTTGATGCTGGGCCAACTTGAAGTTTGTCGTGGTGATGAGTTGAAGTTACAAAATCTGGGCCCTTATTTGATCTTTTTTTACTGTTACCCAATATTTCAATAGTTCACGAACTAGTCAAAATACGTGGCGCCTGCATTTGAGCTGCAAGTTAATATACTTAAATAATTAAAGTATAATTGTGATACAGAGATCTGATGATTTGGGCCTCATGTTCATTATTTACAAGTCAGTAACATAGTTTCGAATTTTTTACTCTTAAGCCCATAAAAAACTTAGCCCTGCTTCGAGCTGATGATTATATATACAAGCTGGGTCTTAATTATAAACCCATGACATGCCGATAACTGGCTTTTATTCTATTCTATCCCGAAAGCCATCTCACCACAAAAAATTGCATCACGACGCAGGTGTTAAAGTGAAAAACATTATCTAATTTTATATCTTTTTTCCATTTTTTTTTGTCCTTAATTATGATCCAGCATTTTATTAATAATCTTAAAATGGCCTTTACCCCCCTCAACATCCAGGCATTGGCCCACCCTTGAAAGAGAGAGGGACAGCATTTATTTACTGGGGTAGAAAAAGAAATATGTCAAACACAAGCAAGGACATGCCCTCCTCACAAGGCAAGAACAAAAAAAAAAAAAAAAACATTGAAGCGTAGTGGCTAATACTATAATATATAGTGCTAACTTTATACTATTCTTCTACATTATTTAGTTCTGTAGTGTAGAATGATATCAGATCGAACTCTATGCGTAGAGATATTCACATTAGTGGGAAGACAAGACCCTCATTTCCAAGTCCCATCATCACATGGAGAGCAGCCCTCTTGTGCAATATCGGTAATCTGGACTCCTGAATCGTATGTCATCCCGGGCTTCCAATCTTCAGGCAGGACATTCCGAGCCCAAATCCATTTCCCATCAAATCCAGCTGTTATCACGAATCTGAATTGAAGTGCCCCTGATGGAACTCTGTCCGAGTCCCACACTGCCCCATGGTTCCGGCTCAAGAAACCCCAGTTCGACGAACCAACCTATGAAAATTTAGCAAAACCATTCAAAGTCAGCATAAGTTCAAAATGTTTATTGGGATTTGGTAATAGTTATTTTATAAAATAATTTTTTATTTATAAATATTTTAAAATAATTTTTAATATCATCATAGCAAAATAATTTAAAAATATTAAAAAATATTTATTTAAAATAAATAAAAAAATATTTCTTTTAATTTTTTTTTAAAATATTTTTAAAACAAAAAATTAAACAATGATTGGCATGTGTGAACATGGATTAAAAACTGTGTCCCAAGCAATATTTCACACAAATTTATTTATTTTTATTTTTAAATTTTTTTAATGTGATGATATTAAAAATAAAAATATTATTTTAATATATTTTAAAATAAAAAATATTTTTAAAAAATTATCATCGCAGCACCAAAAATTAGGTGACATGTTCCACCGGGAGTAAGTTAAAGCTAACCTTAGCAAAGTCAATGGCTACCACTTCTGTCTGACCACCTTGATACAACAATTTAATGGCCAAGTAATTTGGGTTTTTGCTTGATTCTTCTACTCGGACAGCCAAATTCTGGTTTTTGTATTCACAAGGTACCCTGATCAATGAAACAAAGCAGATTCAAATTAGCATAAGATCACTTTTTTGATAATTTTTTTTGTTTTTGGGTGTTTACATGATCCTTCTTTAGTAATGGAACCCTAAAACATGGACAATGCTAGCTGTCTAAATTTATGCAAATCCCCACTAGTCATAGTCATGTTACCTATGATTTTGCGGACAACCTATTTGACCGTTACAAGCATTTATTGTCCTGGTTCTCTGTCCGACGGAACCGGACCAACTTTACTGTATAAAATTATATGAAGTTTGTCCGTGCCATATTGATTTTTCTTGTGGTTGGTGTAACCAAACCAGCCATTACTGGAAGAAGCAACTAGGAAATAAAACATCATGCTGATTAATGAAATAAATGACCATTAACTTAACCAGAGAGATTAATATCAATCATGATAATTAAGATAAAATAAATCCTTGAATACATGGTCTCACCTCTTATATTCCACTTCCACAATCCCTTGTTTCAAGATGTTCCGACCCATATCCTTATTGGCCATGGCCATGAAGGCTCTGCTGCTAAGAACAAAGTCAGTCTGGTTATTGCGATTGAGATCAGTCACAATCACTCTAGTCCCTTCTCTACTGCATAAAGCTGCGTCTTTGCATCTTATCTGCGAGTAATTGCAATAACATGATCAATGAACTGAAAATTTCGGAAGAGGTAAAGCAGACAAGTGGTGTGGTCTCCGGTGCTGACCTGAAAACAAGCACCACATCCAGATCCATCTTTATAAAGGGAAGAAACAGCACCTGCGAGGTGTCCACTGTTAAATCCTGTCGCCATGGAACCATATCCACAAGCCCCAGCTGCACCAAAACAAAAAATAAAAATTACCAATTAAAAATCTCATTAAACTATGATAAAAAAAAAAAAACTAAAATTGAAAGAGAAATCACGACCCCCTTACATGAGAGTGCTGAGGCTCTGGAGAAATATGCGACCTTAGATTGGTGGACACATCGATCACAAGCAGTAGCATAGGAGATAGCCAGGAAAAGAAAGCAAAGAAAGATAGCCATTTTGTTCTTCAAGATGTCAGAAAAGAAATTAAGCAATGAAAGCTAGTGAACGTATAAAAACAGGATTGATATTTGATGACATGAGATGAAGTAATGAAAGAGGTATTTATAGGGCAGTATGGCTGCGGTGTGGACTACAGGTCAGCATTAGACCCATAAAAAGGTAGAATATCTTGATGAACTTTATTATTTTATATGTATAAAATAAAAAATATGCTAAGGAGTGGAGGTTTTACATAAGAAAGAGAGCGATACAAGACGCGGCTAGACCCTAGAGATGATGGGGTCAAGCACCGACTATTTGTCTATGCACTGACAGCTTTAGAGTGAGAATTCGAGACTATGATTGTAAAAGAGATAGGTGGATTTTGTTGGTGAGGGCAGGTTGCTTTTTGCACGCTTAAGGAGAGTTTCTTCCTTGATTCCATTCTCTACACACTCACACTTTTGATGCTTTGGGAGAGATGTTGCCTGGACGTTTTTTTTTAAATTCCAAAGAATACTGAAGTCTTGAGATGTCTTAAATTTTGCGCTACGTTTGGCCAAACTTCAATGAAAATGTAAAAAACAATTCTTTGGTGAAAATTTAAAGAAGACAGAGAGATAGAAGAAATTAAAACTGCTGAGAATAATAGAGAATACAAAAATGCAACATATAATGGATATTTGTATCTTTTTTTTTTTTACAAAAATGCAACATATAATGGATATTTGATTACATTTGCTTCATTAATATCTTTTTTTTTTTACATTTAAATAGCTGAAAAACAAATTCAAATGCAAATTAATAGCTGAAATTCAAGCTATGATTTGCTATAACTGGCTAACAAACTAACAACTCTTAAAAATTAGAATAACTTTATTTACGATAAACAAAATATTTGAAGCTAATAGAATAAATAATAACATGGATTTATAGTAGTTTTAAAGCAATTCTCAACACTCATCCTTGCTTTAGGAACAATAAATTCTAATTTTTTGCCTTAGAAACTTAAACTTGCTTACTAGAATAAGTCTGTCAACTAATCTTCAGATTTACTATAAACTAATGTCACTTCTTTATTTTTATGTACCCCCCTCACGAAGTAAAGCTTGATATTAAAATGTTTAGTCTCTATATAAAATATTGAATTATAAGAGATTACAATTGTTTCCTAATTGTTAACAAGAATCTCTATGTTATCCTTTTGCGTCATTTGTAGACCACACTGAATTTTTTTTTTAAACCATAAAACTTGGTTTATTGTTGTTGTTCCTGCAATAAATTTTATCTTTTTAGTGGATTGTGTAACAAACTCTTGCTTCTCTGAACATCATGAGAAAACTTCAGAATCTAAACTGAAATAATATCCTAAAATATTTTTGATGTCATCAATATATTTAACTCGATCACTATATGAGAATCCATATAACTTAAGGCTTTGATACTTCTCAAACTTGACACTATGATAATCTCTTTGATATACCTTAATATTCTTTTTGCTGCTGTTCAATGCATTTCACGAGCACATTGCATAACTTGAGATAAGAGATTTACAACAATAAAATTTCAGGCTTTGTTGCAATAAAATACATTAAAAAACTAATCAAACTTCTAAAGTATTGTTCATCAACTTTATCAATACTATTCCTCTCTCAACTTCCCTTTTTGATTGATGTGTTTATTGCTTTACATTCCTCCATTTGAAAATTCTTCAGTATTTCCTTTGTATACATATATTGATAGAGGAACACTTCTTTTTGATTTTGCTTGACCTCCATTCTAAGAAAGTAAGTTATAAGATCAAGATTTGTCATTTCAAAAACATGCATCATTTTTTACTTGAACTTTTTAACTAGCTTTGCATTACTTTTTGTTATAAAAAATGCATCAATATAAAAAGATACTATAAGAACATTATTGTCCTTCTGTTTTACATTAAAAGTGATTGCATATAGGCTTTTTACAAAATCTAAGCTTAGCAAATGACCATTTATCCTACTATACTAGGCTTTAAGAACTTGTTTTAGCCCATAAAAAAACATTTTTTTAGCAAGTAGACTGTATCCTCTCCGCCTTGAATCACAAATCCATTTAGCAACTCCACATATATTTCTTCCTATAAACACCATTTAAAAATGCTAATTTGATATCTAGTTGGAACACTTTCCAGCTTTTTTGTATTGTTATGACTAACAACAAGCTAATTGTATCTAATTTAGTAGCAAGAGAAAAGATATCAAAGTAATCAATACTAAAAATCTTAGTATATTCTTTAAATGCAAACTTGAACTTGTATTTTTTGATGGAGCTATCTGTATTCAACTTTGTTTTGTATACCCTCTTCACTCTAATATCTTTTTTGCCTTTCAGTTTGTCAACTGATTTAGGTTTTACTTTCCTGAATCATTAACATCTCCTCTTCCTTTTATCCCTTCCTTTTCAGGCTTTAAAGAGCTTCTTCATGTCTAACAGACTTATATATTGCAACGTTAGATCTCTAATAGATGTTAAAAAATGACCTTGTACCTCTGATTAAAAGATCATTTTCTAGTTCATTCTAGCATTAGTTTGTTGTTTGTTCTTCATAAAAGTTGTTCTTTGTAGATTGTTCCATTACCATTGCTTATTTCATTGAAGTGTACATCTCTTGTAACAATCATTTTTCTTGTTCATGGATGATCACTTTGTAGGCTTTGGAAACTGAACTATAATCCACAAAGATGCTTAAAATTGCCTTTTTGTTAATCACAAAGATGCTTAAAATTGCCTTTTTGTTAAGTTTATTATGCTTAACTTGTGGAATATGAACAAAACACACACACAACAAAATATTTTAAGAAAGCTTAGTGAATGTTTATACCCATACCAAGCCTCTAATGATGTTTTATCTTTTATAACCTTGGTTAGAAGTTGATTTTGTAGAAAAGATGTTGTGTTAGCTGCTTCTACCCAAAACTTTTTAGGCAATTCCTTCTCACGCAACATATATTTAGCCATCTTCATCATGTATTTGTTTATCCTTTCTCTAACTCCATTTAATTTTAGAGTGTAGGGAGCATTAAACTAATATTCAATGCCAACTTCTTCATAAAACAAATTAAATTTCATTGAGGTGTATTTCTTTCCATTATTAGATCTTAAAAATTGAGTTTTATAGCCACTTTGATTTTCCACCATTTTCCTGAACTTCCTGAAAACTTTAGCCATTTTTAACTTAGATCTCAAGAAAACAATCCAGCACATTCTTGTGAAATCATTAATGAAAACAATATAGTAAAGACTATCTTTTAATGATGATGTTCTTTGAGGTTTTTCCACATTCGTGTGAATTAGTTGCATCTTTCAGAAGGCTATTCAAGCTGATTTAAAAGATGACATTCTTTCTTGTTTACTAAATTAACATGCATGAAATTTGGTATTTTATCAGTAAGAACTGGTAGACCTCTTATCAAATCATTCTTCTTCATTTTCAATATTAATTGAAAATGACAATGCCCATACCTCTTGTGCTAGATTTTAATGATGTTGATTTCAGTGGAATATGTTGTGTGCCCCCTTCTTAATTGGGAAAAATAAAAAGCTTTTATCTCTCATTTTAAATTGTAAGACTTCCTGTCCAAGAACATCATAAAAATGACAACACTAATCCGTAAGACTTCCTGTCTAAGAAAAGTCTAAGAACATCATAAAAATGACAACACTAATCTTTAAAGAATGAATCTTTTTTTCTATTAGTTGAGACACATTCTCAAATTTTGGTCAATATTAGGTATGTAAAGAACATTTGGAATTATCTTTGTACCTCAGCTTGCTGTAATTGTAATGGTTTCTTTTTATTTTTATTTTTGCTAGACTATAGCTACCATTCCCTATTCTAAACTTTGTAATTCTAGTGGACTTCAAGTCCTTGAAAAGAGATATGTTATAAGTTATATGATTTGCATAACCACTATCAATCAACCAACATTCTAAAAAGCTCGTGGTTGATAAATAAGTTGCCATAAACATTTGGTCTTCATCATCTTGATCAACAACTTGAGCATCTGCTTGTTTTTGAATTTTGCTTGCAAGTAACAACTTCATGTTCAAGCTAATTGCATATGCCACCTTTTGTATTTGGTCTCTTCCAACATTTAAATGGTGGATGACTTGTTTCGCCACAGTGCTGATAGGATAGATAACTTCCCTTTAAGTTTCTACTCTTACTTTGGATCTGGTTATTTGTGATTTTGCTGTTTGATACTTGATTTTTCTTGTCCTTTCTAAAATTATATTGCTTAGCTGACAGGATTCCTTCAATAAAATAAAATTGCCTCATAATCCTTTGTTGTTCTTAAGATTTTAAGGCATTTAATAGCTTTACCAAGGTGATCTTAGACAAATCCTCTATGTTCTCCAAGGTGGTTATAAATGCTTTTTCAGGCATAATTATAAGGATTTTTTTATATAATTTTAGAATCAGTAAATTTGGTGCTAGGTAACCTTATCTTGTTGACAATAAATCTAACAATTCCTGGTATGTCTCTATCTTCATTGTCTAAAATTGGTAGTTTTTTACATCGAATATAGGAGGAGTAATTTGAGAAAAACTAGCTTTAATTTTTATCACAAATCCCCTGAGAAGATAGCTCTGATACTAAATGAAAGTTTAAAGAATAAAAAAAGACAAAAGAAATTAAAACTATAGAGAAGAGAGAATATAAAAATGTAGCAGACAAGGGATAAATGATTACATTTATTTGATTAACATTTTTGCAATTAAATAACTGCAAAACAATCTGAAATGCATATTAATAGTCAAAATTCAAGCTATGGTATGCTATAAGTTGTTAACAGACTAACAACTCCTAAAGACTAGAATAATTTTATTTGTTGAAAACAAAATATCTGAAGCTAATAAAATAAAAAGATCACGTGGACTTACATCAATCCCAAAGCAATGTTCAACATTTTCCTTATTATTTTACTTGAATTTTATGCAAAATTAATTCTGATAAATAAGTTTATTTTTTCACATAATCTCAGATTTGGATTTAAATCTTTCTTTTATATTGTAAGTTTGAATTCAAATCTAAAACAAACATTTGAAACAAAAAAAATTTCTTATAATTTAGTATCAAATCATTAAATTTAGTTAATTTTAATATATAAAA